AATCATATAAAATCTCATCAAAACAAATCTGTGTCAAAACAAACTGTTTCGACACGCTGAAAGCTTCGACACTTCGACACTTGATTTAGACTTCGACTGCTTCCTTACTATTTCGACTTCGACACACTATGAATTACATTTAACATACCACCTAATTCATTGTGTCTAAATTTTCTACATTCATCATGGCTCTTAGTCTTCAGAAGGCTTCGACCTGCACTCCCTTCGTCATGATATTTGCAATCTGATTCTCAGTTCTGCAGTGTTCCAACTTCATCTTCCCTTCTGCTACCTGCTCTCAAAGATAATGGAACCTCATTTCGATGTGCTTGCTTAAGTCCATACAGGGCTTTATGAAGTCTGTACACCTTTCTTTCTTCGCCTTGTTTCACAAATCCAACTGGTTGTGCAACATAAACTTCTTCGTCTAAGGGGCCATTAAGGAATTCACACTTCACGTCCATCTAACATGTGTGCCAGTTGTTCATATTTGCTAGACCAACAACCAACCTGATTGTTTCGATTCTAGCAACAGGTGTGAATACTTCATCGAAGTCGATTCCTTCCTTCTGAAGAAATCCTTTTGCCACAAGTCTCACCTTGTGTCGAGATACTTCTCCTTTAGGATTTATCTTCACCTTGTAAATCCATTTCACATCAATTTCCTTCTTGCCTTGCGGCAATTCGACAAGTGACCAAGTATCATTGACTTCGATGGACTTCAACTCTTTAGTCATTGCTTTCACCCACTTCGAATCTTTCAATGCCTCAGCTGCATTGACTGGTTCGACATCTGCGTAGAAAGCATAATGTACTAGCTTACCCTCTTCATCGACTACATCATCTGATGTAATTACACATTATTGCAACCTTGCAGGCATGTGTCTTGTTCGTCGAGGTCTGCTTGAACCTGCTTCATCTACAACTGGTTCCTGTCGAACTTCTATTTCGACTTCAGTGGTTGGTTCTTCACAAGAGATTCTCACTGAATCCTTCTTGGTATTCTCAGTCCAATCTCATTCTTTAAGCTCATCTATGATCACGTCTCTGCTGATCACTACCTGCTTATTCATTGGGTCGAACAACTTGTAACCTCCTGTCGAATAATATCCTATCAAGATCATCTGATTCGACTTATCATCAAGCTTCCTTCTCAACTGATCTGGCACATGTTTATGTGCTTTAGATCCAAACACCTTTAAGTGACTGAGACTAGGCTTGACACCAGACCAACATTCTTCTGGTGTGATTCCTTCAAGCTTCTTCGTCGGACATCTGTTCAATATATATGTTCTTGTTGAAACTGCTTCTCCCCATAATTCTTTGGGTAGATGCTTTCCACTCAACATACTTCTCACTGTATTCATGATGGTTCTGTTCTTGCGTTATGCAATCCCATTTTGCTGTGGAGTGTAGGGTGACACCACCTCATGCACAATCCCTTCTTTTACACATAGTGTATCGAACTCTTTCAACACATACTCTCCACCACCATCAGTCCTCAGAATTTTCAGCTTTCGACCACTCTGTCTTTCGACCATGGACTTGAATCTGGAAAATACCTCAATCACATCACTTTTCTTCTTGATGAGGTAAGTCCACAACTTTCGACTCTAATCATCTATAAACGTGACAAAGTATCTATTGCCACCAATCAAATCCACATGGATTGGACCACATACATCAGAGTATGTGACTTCAAGTATTGCCTTCGACTTCCTTCCTGCATCCTTGCTGAAGCTATTCTTGTGTTGTTTCAACTAACCACACTCCTCACAGACTTCACTTGGAATGTCGATTTCTGGTAATCTTGATACCATATTTCTTCTCTTCAATTCTCTGATGTCATTAAAGTTGAGATGACCTAGTCAAAAATGCCATAACCACTCATCTCTGATGGCTGCAGTTGCTAGACACTTGTGCTCCATCACATTGAGTTCAATCTTGTAGGTCCTACTCTAAGACATTGGAGCCTTCAAGATTAATCTACCACCTGCATCGAGAACTCTCATCATCTTGTCTTCAACAACTACCTTGTAGTTCTTTTCGATAAGCTGCCCTATACTGAGCAAATTACTCTTCGTGCCTGGTATATACAACACATTGGAAATTGTTGACCTTTTTCCATCTTTCCTCATAATCAGAACATCACCAACACCTTTAGCTGCTAGAGTGCTGTCATTTGCAAACTTCACTGTGTTCTTCGACGAGGGCTTCATGTTGACAAACCAATCTTTCCTTCCAGTCATGTGTGATGAGCATCCTGAGTCTAAGTACCACTGATCTTAAAATCTTTCTTCATATTTTGTTGTGACCATTAGCAACTTTTTTTCTTCATGTTTCGCCAGCTTTGCATCAGTCTCTTAATTTCTCTTCCTTTCTGGACAATCACTAACATAATGACCATACTTCTGGCAATTGAAACATTGAATGTGGCTTTTGTCTATCTTTCGACCACCACCTCTTCCTTTACCTGAAGCACCACCTCTTTGGTTGCCTTGGTTCCAAGGTTTCTTCTGATTCGACTGGTTTCCTCCTTTGATGCCATTCCAGCTACCTTTGCCTTTTCTTTCCTTTTCTGACTGCGCCTGCAAAGCCATATCTTTCGACTTTCCTGTAGCTCTCTCAGCCATCCTCTATTCAAGAGACTCAAGAGTCCCTTGAAGCTCTTCCTTCATCAACACTGACAGATCTTTTAACTCTTCTATAGCAACTACCACGTGGTCGAATTTTGGATCCAACGATCTCAAAATCTTTGAGACAACTGCTTTCATCGTCAGCGCTTCTCCATATACTTTGATTTGATTCACCAACTTTGTAACTCTGGTGAAGAAATCTGTAATGCTTTCATTGTCTTCCATCTGAAGCAACTTATAGGTTCTCTTGTGAGTTTGTAACCTATTTCACCTTCTCTGCGCCTCCAAACGACTTTTCAAGAATCTCCCATGCTTCTTTTGATGAATTAACATCATTAACCTTTTCAAAGTTATCAGGATCAACACACTGATGAATTATAAAGAGTGCTTTATAATCCTTCTTCTTCAATTCTTTGTGCGCAGCCTTTTTTGCCTCCGTTGCGCTCTCCCCAAACGATGTTACTCCATCCTTCACAAGATCCCAAAGATCTTGATAACAGAAAATCACCTTAATCTGCTTGCACCAATTCTCATAATTGTCTTTCTTGAAAATTGGCAGGGTCACCGGAAAGTTGCCGTTCGGATAGTTCATCGCCATCACTATCTTCCTTCCTTGAATCTCAATCGGAGCTCTAGATACCAGATGTTGGAAATTCACCTCACACCTTATAAAGAATTCCCTTCAATCTTGATCTCAAGATTGATGAACCAACCCACAATATGATAGCAATGGTGATAACAAGTAAAGAGTTATCAAGAACAACAAAAGAGAAGAAAAATAACAAACAAACAGCAAGAAAGAGAAGAATGAGAGAAGAACTATTTGGAGAAAATTGTGTTACCCACAAACTGTGAGATTTCTGATTACTGTTGAACTTTCACTTGCTAAACTCTGCAATTGTGAAATCTGTTCTATGTTTGATTACAAAGCAAGGCACCTATTTATAGTTTTAGGTTCACAAAAGCCCAAAACATAAAAGGCCCAAAATATTCAAAATCAAATCTAATCTAAATCATATCAAATCTCATCAAAACAAATATATGTCAAAACAAACTGTTTCGACACACTGAAAGCTTCGACACTTCGACACTTGATTTAGACTTCGACTGCTTCCTTGCTATTTTAACTTCGACACACTATGAATTACATTTAACATATATAGCCAACCGTTACTTCCCATTTAAACGATCAATCATCATTATCCAATCATAATTGTCCAAAAGAATCAACAATAAAACCTCTCTTCACACAATCATTTAATGTGTTGCAATAATCAACCAAAAATAACGGCATCACACTTAATGCCCGGCCAATTAGAAGAGTAATTCCACCAATGTTATTTTTTGAAACAAACACCCAACCAACTCACACAATACGTCGGGACCACGAGGACAAAGTGTGTATAATATTATTTTTAATAATCTTATGATGCCTAATTTCAAACAATGGGATACGCAGAAAGTTAGGCAATTGTTTACACATGATGCAGTGACAAAAAATTCTAAAGGTACCATTGCTGGAAGAAGTGAGGGAGGATTGTTTGATGCGGAAAGAAAAAATTGGTAATTATAATGTTAAAATGGGATATAAGTTGTTGATGAATGCTCAATCTAATCATCTAGAACATAGAGTGGCGGGGGATTGGTGTAGTTTGTGGAAGATTATAACTCCACCAAGAGCTAAGCATTTGCTTTGGAGGATTTACCGTGGGTGCCTTCCAATGCGGGTTAGACTTCGTCGATACTATGTTCTGTGTACTGATAATTTCCAATTATATGAATGAATTGAAGAAGATGATTGACATGTTTTCTTTGGGTGCCCGACGACCATTCAATTCTGGAATGATGCAGGTTTGAACCATATTATTGCTCCTAGGTTACAGAATTTTAATGATACGAAGTTTCTAATTCTCAACATATGTAGTAAGGGGGATAGATTGGTAGCGGGGAGAGTTGCTGCTATGATATGGGTTATATGGAACAACATGAATAATTGTATTTGTAACAATGAGGTGAAAGATGTGAACAAGTTAGGTATGCAAGCTTTTCATGCTGGCAAGATTGGTTTCAAGCTCAAACTTTCTGTTATAGTGATAATAATCCTATTGACCATCCGACTGTATGGCATCCACTGAGTGTTGGGTGGGTGAAATGGAATGTTGATGAGTGGTTTAATAACCCAGAAGAAAAAACAAATAGGGGGTGGTGCATAAGAGATAGTAGTGGTAGATTCATCAATGCCATAATAGCTTGGAATTTTGGACTTTTTCCATCATAAAGGCTGAAGTTTTGGCCTTGAAAGAAGCATTGCAGGTAGCCCTCCATATGCAATTGAATCGGGTTATTTTTTAGAGTGATTCTAAAATGGGGGTGCAAGCATTACACAATAACTATTGTGGTAATTCTGAATTTAGTCTGATCATCTCTTTTATTAAGAATTTACTAGTTTTTCATTCCAACTTTGAGGTGAAGTTTATTAAGCACCAAGTGAATTCGGTTGCTCACATGTTAGCTAAAGCGGTCAATTTTTGGACTAGGCATAGTGTTTTAAATTTGATTCCTCTTTGTATTGAAAATTTTTTTATTAATGATATGAATTGAGTTTGCTTGTGTAAAAAAAAATATCCAGAGGTTCCAATAGAAGACTTTATGTTCAAAGCACTTAGAGCATCTCTAATCTTTAATAGGAGAATTAAATTTTAATTGTTTGTACTACATGACATTTAAGCAACATTTAAGTAATCTAAACCAATTTTATTTTAATGGTGATTTTAATAAGAAATTTATATTTTACCTAATTAATTCATATTTGACCCTACCAATTATTAATATTATTTAATGATAAGCAACACATTTTTTGCATTTCTTCATAAAGTAACTCGTACAAAAAATTTAAGCAACCAAAATGCCACGTGTACCTATTCTGACTATAAAAATATTAAGTTCTGAAACTTATAAATCCACATATGCATTAAGCAACTTCTATTGGAGATGCTCTTTTTTTGTTCAAATACTTACATTAGTTTTATTCTTGACTATTATTTTTCACAAAATATGAGATTCTTTTACCAAAGAGAATATAAGTTACCTGCTCAAAATAATATATGAAAAATAGTGCACAAGATATCACAACCTTCTAATTATTTACTTGATAGATTATATAATGCACGACAACAATGATTGATATATTCTCGATGTTCTTGTGTGAGGTGAGGGTGATTTGTCTAACTATTTTTTGGGACTGCGTTTCTTTATAATCAGGTGAGGCGGTACCATAGGAATGTGCATATTATGTTAGTCATGGAGATCTCTTGAGGTTGTTTTTTTTTTTTGCTTTTGTGTCTACTCGAAAACATGTTTGAAACATAATAAACCAAATATTTTAAGATGAATAACATTAGGTTTCATACTTGTCCAAGTTTCATATGTGTTATTTGCAACAAAACAAATCTGATTGGACTTCTATTAATGATGTGCATAATTGTTGAAATTGCTTCACTCTAAAATCTATTAGACATCTTCCCTTTTAGCATGCTTCTTTTCATATTGAGTGTGTGTTATTGATTAATGAAGGGATAATACATGGTAAAAAATAAAAGTACCAAAAATGATAAACATCCCCGAAAGTACATACAAAAATTTAAAGTGAGACTGTCCAACACTAATTACAAGACCGTAAGTTCATGGCAAAGCAAAATAATAAAATAAGATTGAACTCGCAGGGAGATACTGATTTTTATCCTAACAATGTGTAGCTAAAGTTATCGAATATTCAGAGATTCAATGTGAATGGAATAAAACTAACAATAATAATATATAGCAAAGAAGGATCTGTGGTACATGATATCTATCTCAAATTACTCAATTAACTTTCAGAAATTGAATGTGAGAAAATAGAGCAAGCTATAAAAAAGTAGATAAAATGCATTACACCTACTTTCGTGGCATGCATATCTAAACGTGTCTCTCACACAACTAATCGGCTTTATCAATCGAGAACGAGACATCTTATATGTTTTATCTCGTTATCAGATGTTTACTAATTCACAGTCGGATTCTGAATCACTACCTTTTGATATGTGATCAACATCTAGGGTGCCTCTGCTCTCGCTAGCCGACACAAATATATTTAATTTATCGGATTCTAAAATAACTTTAAACCTCTTTGTTTTCTCATGATTCGTAAATTGATAAGCCAATTGAGGTTTGTCATAAGATAGATCTCACGAACCCTTGTCCCTAAAGGACTACTCACTCATGGTGAGATTGATTGAAAATAAACAAGATAAAGGCATAACATGCATAGAAAATAAATAAAGCAATTATGATAAAATGAAATAACCTGAAATGAAGACAAATGCTTGAATAAAATAAAATAAACCAAGAAAATACAACTTAATAACAAAAAATACTTTAAAGCTTAAATCTAAAAGGTAAAATTGAAAATAAGTGATAATCTAAAGTGACCCATATCATTCCAAGCAAGTGAGGCACTATTTATACATGATTTAAACAATTAATCCACTTAAATTCGTGGAAAAATCATAATGGTCACTTATGGATGAAAAGAGACAAATTGGAAGTTCAGAAGCCGGTAAGTCGTTACGGAATGCCCAAGTTCGCAGCAAAAAATGGGTCTAACATGGGTTGTGTTGTCTAACATATGGGGGTCATGCTGAGGAACACGACTTGTGTCATGCAATGCGGTCAACCCGTGTTCTTCTCAGGACATTATTGTTGAGGGCACTTCAAAGGCCAACACGGCCCGTGTCAGCTGACACAGCTAGGTCGTGTTGGGCACAAATCTTTTGTACTAAGAATTTACTCAAACACATTATTTTCTGTCTTTTTTATTTCAATCTTGTCTGATATTTCCTTATTAACTGGAATCAACAAAACACACAAAAGTGCATAAAACACCCATGAACCTAAATTAATGCTTGTTATGAAGCAACAAGCTTGCTTAGTTATGTCTGCCCCCACCCTATTTTAGGCGGGACAGATCAACATTTTAGGTCCGCTTCCTATAATATGCATGCCCTCGCCCTACTTTTTTTTTTGCAGATTTTGGAACGCGCGAAGATTAACACGGCGGGAAGAACCATTGTTTTCTGCCGATACCCTTTAATATGTTCAACTCTTTTTTTTTTTACTTTTGTAAGGCGTGCCTAAACAGGACGACCATGCATGTTTGTCTCACATATTCCTATCCTTAAGCAACACGTAATCTCATCCTAACCACATAAAGAGCATACCACATGGACACCACCACCTCTCAAGTAACAAAAAGATGACTGGTCGACTCCACCAAGTTATGATATAAGTTACAAAAAATGTCACATTAATCAATAATCACCATGCACTTAAGAAGGTTTTTCCTAGTGAGAATCCTATCTTAGAGTTGTCAAAAAAATACCGCTACTTTAAGAGGGGCACATATCTTTCAAATCAGGTGCATCAACTAACTAACTCTATTAAGATGGAAACTTTCTTGTAGCCTATTATTCATAAGAGAAAGATATGTTAACTTAACAAAGAACATTCCATTTTAATTTTTGTCTCACCTAAGTTTCTACCTTCTAGGAGAGATAAATTAATTCCACAAATATGGAAAGAGTTTTAGCTAGATCAATCTCCTAGACAAAAGGATCCCTTATGCACCTAAAATTCCAAATCGATGAGGCATCATTCAAAAATTCCATATTGACAACTTTTTGATCTTGTTGGAGTGAAATCTAAAAAAAATCCAAAAAACTAATGTTGAAATAAAGAACAACTCAATTGGGTTAATAATGGTGGAAATTGGAATTCAGGGATTTGAAATTTATATATATATATATATATATATATATATATATATATATATATATATATATATATATATATATATATATATATATATATATATATATATATATATATATATATATATATATATATATATATGTATATATATATATGTATATATATATATATATATATATATATATATATATATATATATATATATATATATATATATATATATATGTATGTATATATATATATATATATATATATATGTATATATATATATGTATATATATATATGTATATATATATGTATATATATATATATATATATATATATATATATATATATATATATATATATATATATATATATATATATGTATGTATATATATATATATATATATATATGTATATATATATATATATATATATATATATATATATATATATATATATATATATATATGTATATATATATATGTATATATGTATATATATATATATGTATATATATATGTATATATATATATATATATATATATATATATATATATATATATATATATATATATATATGTATATATATATATATATATATATATATATATATATATATATGTATATATGTATATATATATATATATATATATATATATATATATGTATATATATATATATATATGTATATATATATGTATATATATATATATATACATATATATATGTATACATATATATATATATACATATATATATGTATATATATATATATATATATATATATATATATATATATATATATATATATATATATATATATATATATATATATATATATATATATATATATATATATATATATATATATATATATATATATATATATATATATATATATATAGAGAGAGAGAGAGAGAGAGAGAGAGAGAGAGAGAGAGAGAGAGAGAGAGAGAGAGAGAGAGAGAGAGAGAGAGAGAGAGAGAGAGAGTGAGAATTATTATTGGCATTAAACCTCATAATGGGAGCACAAAGGCTATTTATACAACATGTACAAAATAAGTGGGAAAATACAAAACAACTTAAAAAATAAGTTAAAAACACAAAAAGCACTCAGTGTAACCGGTTACCATATTTGGGGGAACCGGTTACCACAAACACCCTTGGCTACTGTCTCTAGTTCAAAAATCATGTAACTGAATACCACATATCCGGTAATCGGTTACACCAACTGAAATATTGAAAAACTGTTTTCCAACACACCACATCATTTCAGTTGGTCCAAGTCCACCATGATCAAGCTCTTCAACCTCTTGAACACTTCATTTGTTACTCCCTTAGTCAACAAATCCTCAACTTAGTCTTCGCTTTGACAATATCCCAATCTTAGTTTGCCTTCACTCACTAACTCCCTCAAATAATGAAACTGTTTCCCTATATGCTTGCTTCTTCCATGTGCAATCATATTTTTTGCAAGGTTCATCGCAGAAACATTATCAACAAGTGTGGTAGCCTCGCCCTTATTGCTACCCAACTCCTTCAATAGATTCATGAGCCACATAGCTTGGTACATACATAACAGTGCCTTAATATACTCGGCCTCACAAGACGAGAGTGCTACCACCGGTTCCTTCTTCGAACATCAAGAGATTGATGTCCTACCAAACATAATGATGTATCCAGCAGTCGAATTTCTGTCATCCTTATCACTACACCAATTGGAAATGATGAAACAAGTAAATCGCATTTTCGGCCCGTATCCGTTGCGAGAAAGAGAATTCCGCAGCCAAGAGTTCCTTTAACATATCTT